GAGAATAAAATGGCAATAATACATGAAATTTAATTGTAAGATTTATAAAGGGTGATTTTTTTGAGGTTAGGATTTTCATGCATTAGTATTTGACAGATCACGTGGGATTTCAGACATGGTGTCAAAGAGAAAGATGCTCAGTATGCTTTGAAATTTCATCATGAATAGACTTACTAACGAGCAACGCTTGCAAATCATTGAATTTTATTACCAAAATCAGTGTTCGGTTCGAAATGTGAAATCCGCTTTTTTATCGACAAATTTTGTTCAGCGATGAGGCTCATTTCTGGTTGAATGGCTTCGTAAATAAGCAAAATTGCCGCATTTGGAGTGAAGAGCAACCAGAAGCCGTTCAAGAACTGCCCATGCATCCCGAAAAAATGCACTGTTTGGTGTGGTTTGTACGCTGGTGGAATCATTGGACCGTATTTTTTCAAAGATGCTGTTGGACGCAACGTTACGGTGAATGGCGATCGCTATCGTTCGATGCTAACAAACTTTTTGTTGCCAAAAATGGAAGAACTGAACTTGGTTGACATGTGGTTTCAACAAGATGGCGCTACATGCCACACAGCTCGCGATTCTATGGCCATTTTGAGGGAAAACTTCGGAGAACAATTCATCTCAAGAAATGGACCGGTAAGTTGGCCACCAAGATCATGCGATTTGACGCCTTTAGACTATTTTTTGTGGGGCTACGTCAAGTCTAAAGTCTACAGAAATAAGCCAGCAACTATTCCAGCTTTGGAAGACAACATTTCCGAAGAAATTCGGGCTATTCCGGCCGAAATGCTCGAAAAAGTTGCCCAAAATTGGACTTTCCGAATGGACCACCTAAGACGCAGCCGCGGTCAACATTTAAATGAAATTATCTTCAAAAAGTAAATGTCATGGACCAATCTAACGTTTCAAATAAAGAACCGATGAGATTTTGCAAATTTTATGCGTTTTTTTTTTAAAAAAAGTTATGAAGCTCTTAAAAAATCACCCGTTACAAATGTGTATATATGTATGTACATATCTATATGCACAAACGTTTGCTTTTTATTTTTATGGACCGATTTTACTACTAACCTTTAAAAAGTGAATTCTGCTGTTATAATATGCCAATGCACTTGCAGGTACTAGCCAATTTATCACATGCTCTCATCTTACCAAACAACAATAACTAAACCATCCACTTGCTGATATTGACTGACTCATTAACCAGCTCGTGTCCGTAAAAGCCGGTATCGTTATTGTCAGTCTGTCGCTAAGAAAACAACAATTTAACATTTAAATACTTATGTATGTATGTGTGTTTTTGTTTCATTTTCGTTTTAAGCGCTCAATCACGGATTTTCAAATTTAATATGAATGTAAATTTCGCATAAAAAGCAATAATTGAAGTTCGTAAAACTGTGGTTCATCTTTCAAGCTGCCCGCAGACAAGTTCCATTGTATTTTATCACTGACAACATTTAAAAATTGGCTTAAAAAAAAAACAAATATGTATGTATTAGGGTGTGCCTTATGTGCCGAAGTATTTGTTTGGTGCTTTATATTCAGCCTGCAATATCAAAAGCCTACATATTTTGGAAGAAACGAAAGCGCCATTAGATATTTATAAAATAGCGAAAATGTGAGTCATTCATTGGCCCCTTCTTTTCAGTATTGTGTATAAGATTTCACAATAGGTCATTGTCTGAAAATTACAAAAAAAGTGTTTTTCTTATTTAAAAAGAAAGTAGCTAGCTATAGCGTTTCGTGGAGAAAAAATCTAAATATTTTTTGCGAAAATGGCAGTTGTTTGAAGAAATTAAGAGGAAATTTTTATTAAAATGTTAAGTTCATTAAATTTTTAAATTAAGAACGGGACATTGAATCAAAAATTGTCGGCTAAATCGGTCCAGTAGATCTTCAGATATCGTGTACAGCAGTTTTAAAACAGTCGTTTCGAGAAAAAATCAAAAACAAAAAAAATGTCACCGCCTTTTGGCTCTTTTCTGCTACTCCGACTTTTAACTCTTGTAACTTCTGAAGAACATATTTTGAATTCGCCATAAAGAAAAATCTTTTTTCAGTACAGTAGTTTTGAGAGTTTTTCAATAAAATAAAGGAATTTCTGGTACTAGGTATGTGTACCTGTTGTACACCACGCGACAAAATGATGTCTACGTCTAACAAAAACCATGTAAATCCAAATTTCTAGCTTTGTACAAAAATTAGCAAGAACTATGTATATTTTTATAGAAAAAATTAGGTTTGGAAAATATAAATAAATAAATCGTTAAACCATCAGGGTATACTTATTTTTGACGCTCACTGTATATGTATTTTTATAACGTGTTTCCACTAACAATTCGCTGTTAGCTTATATCGTTTTTCATCATAAATTTATACTACTACTACTATGCGTTAACAAGTTTAGCAAAAAAAGTAATTTTTCGTATAAATGCAGTATTTTGAAAAAAACGTATCCATTTTTGGAATTGAAAAAAGTATTATACTGCTAAAAAAATATAGATCGAGCGTCATTCATAGCCAAAAGTGTTCTAAATATTCAGATAAAAAAGTTCGATTTTTTTTAGAGTTTAGAAATTATATTTTTATTTATTTTTTTGTTATCGTAAAAAAATAGCGAAAGAAATAAAAATTGGTGCATATATACTTTTTGCCGTGAGTGTGCGTGTAATCGAACATCTAATTTAAAGTAGTAAAGTTATATTTTTTAAACCGCCTCGCACCAATTAATGCACACTTTAGGGCACTTGCTTCGCATAAAACCGATAATGATTCGTAATGTTTTTAGACAAAGGGTTTTGATACAAATTAAGCACCAAAATTAGTACATACGTACATATATTCAAATACATAAGGTGCACCCTAATAAGCACTATATTTCGGCATGCATAGCATGTACATACATGCAATATTTTGAGTAATGAAAAAAAAAAACGTACAGCTTTAAGGACTTTTCTTCAATACCCAATAACTCTGAACAATACATAATCTTAAATGCTAAAGTACAATTTATGATAATCGCACTTCTTCTTCACTATCACGCACTGTGTATGCATACATTTGTACATACATATGTACGTAGGAATGTATGTTCGATACAATACAGTTTGTGCCTACTGTCTGCGTCTGACGCATTCATTGCAAGTTGTGTAGTTACATACGAAATCATTTCCGATGAGCAACTTGGCAATGTCGCGCATATTAATGAGCTTGTTGAGTTCGCGTCGCAAGCGAAATGGCTAATTTTAAGTTTACTTTTTTTGTGGCTTTTACAAGAATTGAATAGCTTTTTATTTGATTGTATACATATGTTTTTAAAACTTACAATCATTCTACAGAGAAGGTGCCTTCAATTTGGCGAAAGGAAAACAAAAGTTATGTAAATTTTTGTTTAGAACTGAAATAGTAAACGAATGATGGATACGAATGATAGATTTGTTTTTGAGAAAGGTTTATAAATGGCTTTAGTAGTCAACGGTTAAAAGAACTAATATGTATTGTATATATGTATAAACCATTTTACTGAATTCATTTAGAATTATAGACTTTACATTTATTTAACAAATAAATAACATTTCCATGTATCTACAGTAAGATACTTACATATTATAAGAAATTATAGACTAAAAAAATTCAGCATATGAAAATTATTTATTTATCCATCTTAATTTGTTCTTTTTCGCGTCCATACAAAAAAATAAATTTTCCATATTATTTGCAGCGTTTCGCACAAAGGACTATAAAATTTACTTTATTGTTATAAGCAGTACAAAAAATATGAATGTCGCACATTTTTTTAACATCAACGAAAATAACTTTTTAATGCAAAGCTTTTAATTGCCATACACTAATCTATATGTATTTGAATGTTCGTGTGCAGCTCAAGCAATTTCAGTTCTGTTCTGTTTCTTTTGCTGACTTTCGCATCTTTTGTCTGGCATGTGCTGATTGGTAATGGTGCTAGCGGTGTTCGTGAACGCAATAATCATCGCATTGTTATTCATAATTTTATTTATTTTTCCTTTGCACAATTATTTGCTTATTTTTATAAATACAATATTTATTTGTGCCGTATTGTGTCGAAAGACAATCCACGACAGCAGTACACATTTCGTGTGTTTAAACCAGTACGATCACCAGAGAACATTCACTGCATTCGACAAGCACTTCACCATCGTCGCCATCAGCAGCGCCAGCATTCAGAATGTCTTCATCATAACCAGTCGTTTCACTGCCTTTGTTGTTGCTGCTGCTACAAATCGCTGTAGATCCACTCACAGCCCCACTGTCAGCGGCTGCTTGACTACTTGGCTTATCGATGCCATTATCGTAACGTTTTTGTTTTTGTTGTATTAGTTGTTCTTCTCCTGTTTGTGTTTGCATCTGGTCGTTGTTAGCGGCGTTGTGGTTGCGGTTACTGTTGAGTATTTCACTATCCACTGACTCATCGACTATATACTGACCGCCACATCGGCAATCATATGTATAGTACCAATATGTGCCACCCTTAGCACCGGTGCTCTCGCTGTCGCCATTATATTCGCCATTGTCACTGCCACTGTCATCGTTTGTTGTTGTTGTGGCGGCACAACGTTTCATGTCCGCTAGCGTTAAACGCGCAAAAATATTACTGTGGGCCTGGAGCTTTGTCAACAACAATTCGGCATCGTAGAGGCGTCGTTTTGTAGGATCTTTGAGTGTATTCCATGCTTCATTTATGGCAACAAATTCTCTACTGTGCTGATCTGAATACATAGCCGTTGGGTTTTCGACAATTGGGTCAACAGTAGCTGCAGAAGTGGACGCAGCATCATTAGTCGCGCTGATGGTATTATCAAAATTCGAAGTAGTTGTTGTTGTGCTAATGCTGATGGTGTTATAATGTTGTAATTTATCCGGATGACATTGTAGAATTAATTGTTTGTAATTACGACGCAGCTCTTCGAAGCTTGCTGTTGGCGAGGTCTTCAAAATTTCATAGTAATTGCGCGCAGACATTATTTATAACTTTAACTTTAAGCAGGGCGCTATGCGTTCTATGATAAAATTAGCTAGAATTAGTGGTTTTCCAGAGCTCTCTTATATTTTCCACTACCTCAATTTTTTATTTAGTTAATATTTTGAAGCCTGCAAGCAAACAAAATTAAATGTAATAAAATTTAGTACTTTTATCAAACACTATAAATACTTACTTTGTAAATGTTGCATGAAAGGCGGGAAATATATATGTATGTAGTTATTATGGATATTTTATGTAATAATGAGAATTGGATTTTCATAACAGACTTTTGTATTCAAATAAATGCACTGTTTTAATTATTTTTGAAGAATATTTTCAATATGTTGCCAAAGTTTTCGATTGGTATGACTCACAGGACACACCCATATTTGAGGGAGAATAATGTAAAGAATTTGATGGCAAGTACATATGTACGTATATGTATATGTATTTATGTACTTGGGTAACGTGTTGCAAGTTATTTTTTATGCTCCACCCAGGCCACCCAAATAAATGCCTCGAGCGACACTCCTTTTTTTTGGAAGAGAACAAATGTATAAACGTTTATGACGAGCAGGAAATTGAAAAAAGGAAACAATAAACGCGATTTATCGATCGCGCGCAAATAATAACAGCAGGTCAATGACAGCTTACCAGGAACAAGACAACGATAAGTCAGGTGCCATAGAAAATGTTATAAATAATTGGGAAAACGCATACGTTCTGCAGGCATATAAATATATACATACCCTTGTGGTCAGCTGATTAAGTTAAGTGGCATTTTGATCAGTTTTTGCTATTTTTCTTTTGTTTGTTTGATGTTCATATTTGTTTTTTATAAAAGTCTAGACGATTACACAACCACCACCACGCAAATCCACATATCCAACTTCGCACAAAAATTACAAAAATTCAACAAACTTTAACAACTACACACAAAAAAAATTTAAAATTTTTATTCAAAATTTTCAGAAATATTTTTGGTATGCAGTTTTATAGACCATTAAATTTGGGTAGGTAATAATTGTTGGCGGCCGCTGTGGTGTAATGGTAGGCAGTGCGTGCTTCCACTCCTCAGCGACTGGGTCGGAGGAGAAGCTCGGCCAAACACTAACATATGTGAAAGCGCCAATCTATTATTATTATTGTTGTTATTGTTTGAAATTGGCACTTCAACCTCCTAAAATTTAATGGGCTATAAAACTGCATACCTAAAATTTTTCTGAAAATTCAGAATAAAAAGTTAAAATTTTTGTGTGCAATTGTTAGTTTTTTTTTTAATTTTTATAGGATTTGTACGAAGTTAGAAATGTGGATTTATGTGGTGCTGCTTATGTTATGCCCAAGACTTTTATAAAAAAAAATTATAAGCATTAAATAAACAAAATAAAAATAGCTAAAACTGTACGAAATGTCAGTCAGCTGACCAAAAGTGTATACATATGTATGGATATATCTGTGTTCGTATGGAACAGTAGCATATGTCGCGAAAGGTTGGCTTTAGTATAATGCGGCATTCGATTGCGAATGACTCACTGGCGCCGAGCCGTTGAAGAACTTTTGGCTAATAAACGTGCAGAAATAGTTCCGATACTAGCAAGTCAATATTCTTATTAGGTCTCATCAAAAAATTCCTTGTGGTTTAAAGAATAAAGGGAATGCCGCATTATATTAAAGCCAGCATAGACATAAGCTGCTGCTGTCGTTGCTTGAGCTAATCTGCTATTTTGCCAGAGTGCCAGGCCACTCGCTCAATTTGGTGAATACCACTAGTGATTTGTCGGCGAACCAATTGGTCAAATACTAGAAGTTAGTTGTAAATAAGCCGTATGTAGGCAAGTTGGTAAATTTTGAGGAATGAAAACTGTTTACCCAAAACTTTACAGACTTTTGAAAAAATACTATCATTAAGTTGGTACCTCGGTGCCTGCTGAGCGCCTTTTTAACCGACTTCACAAAAAGGAGGACTTCACAATCTGTCGGAATATTTTTGTGTTTTTTTTCCTAAAATTCTTTTTTTCCAATGAAAGGTGTTACCTCGCAGGGGTCCCATACTAATTTGGTTTAAAACCAATCATTGGATCATGAAGAAATTAGATAATCTTAAATGTTTATATGAGAATTGAAGTCGGTTGTGTTTTTTGCTTAAAAAAATTACTTTTTTCAGAAGCTGGCGCTAATTTTATTTTTTGTTTTGCTTAAATAATAAATAATTAGCAAAAATACTCGTTTTATTTCATTTAAGGCAAATTAACAAGAGAATTAGAATTTTTTTATGGAAAAATGTTTTTGTGAATACTCATTGCAAAAAATTCGTTTAATCGATTATTTTTCAATAATTGCAATCATTATTAATTTTTGCTTGTGATTAATCATATGATTAACTTACCGATAATTTTACTTTTTTGCCATCCCTAAGTGCGAATATTTCCATGGCAATACAAGGTCTTCGAGGTTCGAAAATCTGCATTTTGCCAATTCCGACAAAAGTTGATAGGCAAAGTCTGCCAGAGAAAATACCTTAGTCAGATAGTATATTATTCGGTATTTAATGATGAAGAAGTACAGCCTAGATACATGATGAAGGTACCTGCGTTACGCTGAGTTAATTTGGTAACGTAGATCTCTTCATAGAGAACGAATCAAATATTCCATACTGCTGATCATATAGGAATGTTGGCATTCATATAAATTTAAATACAATGGTTATATCCTTCCAAATTAAGCAGAATACTTCGATTTGAAATTACTTGAACATGCATACATATGACAACTCACTGACGACCTAGTTTTCATAACGTCACTGCTTGCTACATCTTTTGCAGGGAATGACATACCTACAGGCACATATGTATGTATGAACGCTTATGTACTTATGTAGGTATGTACTCTATACGAATGCGCACTATCAAAAAATATATTCGGCACAAATTCAATAACAAGGCCAAAAAAAAGTTACTAAAATGGGAAACCAGTTTGTTGCAAGAACAGCAATAGTTATAAAAACAATAGCAACAACATACTAATATAAAAAGTAGCATCAAGAAATTACGTTGACCCAATTCAACTTGGCTGGCTAAAGTAGTTGGGGACTACAGCAGTTGTTACAACCAAATAACGCATACCACTTAGTGTCTGCAAGGGGAAGAAAACGTTAAAACACAAAAGTAGGTAAGAGGAAAATGTGGATGTGTGACGTTTTCCTTGAAACGGCTAACTCTAAGGTATATAGTGGATTTAAATACCCTAATTATTAAAGCGGCGAAAGTATGTATATAAATACCTCTGGGCAAGGCAGTAAAGTAGTTTTGACAGTGCCGTAATGGGCATGAACCGGCTTTGTAGGGAGATAGCTTTGAAGTTTGGCTGACAAAATGAACGAATGCTAAAAAAATATAGCGTAGTGTAAAAATGCGCGGTTGAGGGCGCATTATTTTATAATCTTTTCAACACAAATCAGTCTTAGATGCTTAAAAGTTACATATATCTATGTGTATATACATATTTCTGGATTTTGCTTCATCGCTTTAGACTAGCGAAATTTTTCGGCGTCATACATATGTTTTAAGAGCACAACATGTGACTTCCAAAAGAGAGCTATGTAATACAAAATATATCCGCAAACTCGGAAATGTTAATCGCAAAAATGCTGATTATCTAAACAAACAATTCGCAGCAATATTACCTAATATATAAAGATATATTTATATGTATCTGTTTATAAAATTACTTGTTCGTACTTACTTGCCTTTTTTGGGAATATTGCCGAGTTTGTGCTCCTCCCACTTGAAAACCAAATCAAAGCACAGCAATAAATCAAAAGTTCCACTGCACAACACGTTCTTCACTCTGTTGAGTACACTTTTTCTATGAGATGCTATTATTTATCTGCACATCTTCGGTCTTCCTGTAAAATTTTGATCAAACCTCAAATTTGGTTTAAACATTTATCCACTTCAATGAATGGAAGCTCGCGAAAACGAAAGATTTTGATGAAACACGCACACCGTACACAAGTTTATTATGAGAAATTTTCTAAGAAACTGACAGCATTGCCAACAGCGCTGCTGTCAACTGAAATGTCAAAAAACTTTTGACAGCAGAGAAAAAACTACAAAGTATGCAGTGTTGCATTATTGTGCATATTTTTCGACGTCAAACTACAAGGTGATAAGAAGGATAAAATACCAATTTGAACCACCATCCATTTTATTTTATTTTATTTACAAAAACTGAACTTTACTGAAACATAAGTAAGTGCTCAACGTTAGCTATTCAAATATACAAACTGATTTTCTAAAACCTGTATTTGATTTAAAACCATAACGGCTAGTTTTTAAATTTAGTACTGCAGCATCACTGCTACATTAATTGCTGTAGCACTCAGTGTTGTCAGTTTTCCTTCCGGGTAATGATTTAATCTTCAAAAAACGAGGAAATATCTTTATTGAAGATTTTATAACAAAAAAACTTAATTTTTTTATTATAATTTGGCTTTGTATATCAATCATAACACATTTTATTTGAAAAACAAAAATAACGAGTTCATGAATTCAGAACAGATTTATTGACTAGTTTACAAAACAAACAAGTATTTTTACTTTTACTTGTATAACCACATAGGGAGACGTTGCCACTACAGTCGGGTCTACTTAACCGGAACGACCCAGACTTATATCTGGCCAAGGACTGCCACTCCAGCAACACTCCCCAAAAACCCTTTGGAGAAATTGTATGCTGCTACAACAACAACAACAACTAGAACCACAATAGCCCAACTTCGCTCTGACAACTGCAGCAGTTTAAACTCATACTTGAGCATATTAGACGCAGATGTGCCAAATGAGTGTCCGACATGCGGAGAGACACCCTACGACTCGAAACATCTCTTCGTATGCCCGGAAAACCTGACAAAGCTAACGCCTTTTCCCCTGTGGACAGACCCCATTGAGGCTGCTCGCTTCCTGGGGATTCCGTTAGTTGAGCTTGACGACAACGACTGATCTGGACGCAGTCGATGTCTCAATACCTTATTATTGCGGGGTACAAATAGCAATTACGCGGCTGAAAAACAACAAAGCTGCTGGAGCTAACAGCCTGCCAGCTGAGCTATTGAAGTACGGCGGCGACAAGCTGATAAGGTGCATGTAAACTCTTATGGAAAATATGGTCTGATAAACACATGTCCGATGATTGGAATTTAAGTGATCTATGCCCAATCCACAAGAAAGGCGACTACGCCATATGCGCCCACCGCCGTTGCAGCAGCCTTTGTGTGAAAGGCTGGAGCCCACCGTCAACGAGCTGATTGGGTCTTATCAGTATGGCTTTTGTCCTGGTAATTCCCCAGAGACCAGGTATCCACCACACGCCAAATATTGGAAAAGATCCGCGAGAATAGGTTCGACACCCACCACCTATTTATAGATTTCAAAGCCGCTTTCGCCAGTATGAAAAGAAGTTGTTGATACCATAATCTCTAATAAGTAATAATGTTAGCCTTGCAATCCAAGGGAGAATCACTCATCCCACCTAGTGGTACTTTGGACTGAATAGGCATTTGAGAAGTAAAGTCCTCTCTCGTCGTACAAAAACACACTCTATAAGCCACTAATCACGCCCGTACTGGCACGGGGGCATGAAGAAGAACAACATCTGATAAGGCGGATAGGAAGATTCTGCGGAAGATTTACGGTCCTTAGCGCGTTGGCGATGGCGATTACCGCAGACGATGAACTGACAAGCTCTCCAGCTCCTCTGCCATGGGAAGGCTAGGTGGAGAAGAACTTCTCTTCACGACAGGTGTGTTTTATTGGACTCGGCCAGCGCCAACCAAGAAGAAGAAGGTGGACTGGGTCTCGATAGTCAAGTGAACGATTACATATCGCACACTATCTTCAAAAGTGACACAACTCAAAATTACACGTTCGTCAGAATATGCGAAAAACTATTTCGTAGCACATGCTCATCATATGGGCAAGGCAGACTTTACCTAAGGTTTTTTCAATAATTTATAAAAAAAAAATTGCTCCAGATTTTGCTGAAAGGTAAATAAAAGCTCTGTGTACATTTTTAGTGAATTTTTTCAAAAATGCCAAATTTTGAGTTGTGTCACTTTTTAAGATCGTGTGCGATATTTGAAGATTACTCATAAAACTACATCGCCTTGCTTTTGTATCTATGCAACACGGGAACAAAGTGCACCGGCCCTACGGCGCACAGTGGAGCAAAAAAGTTGATGTGTACAAATTAATTTTGAAAGCCCAAATATGAACAGATTTCAAGTTTTTTTTTTTTTAATAAAATATAATTAAATTTCGCGTCGAACTATCCGTATCGATTTTTTAAAAAGTTCCAAGTTTTTATTTATTTGTGTTGAAAAATTAAGGAAAAAAAATTTTACGTTTAAAAGCTTCAACTTTTTTGGAAAATACTTTAAATTTATTTCAAATGTCTGCAATTATTTAAAAAAGTACATATTCGTAAATATTTTTCTATAGGACACATTTAGTTAAAAAAGTTATTTAATTTGTTATCTTTACTAATATATATTTCTGTTCGAAAAACTCGAGAACAGCTGTACCGATATTTTTGAAACTTTGGACATCGAATCTAGATTCTCCAAGGCTGACAATAGAAGAAAAAGAATTGCAATATATCAAGGGGCGTGGCACCTCACATACAAACTGAAGTTTTTACACCACATATGATATGTTGTGTGAAACTTTAGTTGGTATGGGAGGTGCCACGCCCCGTTTATATATCGAAATTATCCTCCTTCTATTCTATTCTATTCCTTTGAAATAAATAAATAAATAAAAATCCAGAGCTTTTTTAAAAAATCGCCACGGATAGTTCCACGCGAAATTTAATTATTTCCTCTTAAAAAATAAGAAACCTGAAATCGCTTCATATTTGGGCTGTCAAAATTGATTTTGTCCACAGCAACATTTTTTGCCCCACTGTGCGTCGCCAAAGGCGGTTATTATCGAACTCATGCTCTACTCGCAGCTATCTATGTAGTTATAATCATATATTATATATATGTAGATAATTGCCAAAATTTCTTTGTGGTGAAATGCACCTCGATATTTATTAGATAGTCCGCTAAATACAATGAATCTCATCAAT